GGGGGGGGGGGGGAAGGGGGGCCCGGGGCGGCGAGGACGCGCGAAGCCCGGTGGACCAGCACAAGAGCCCGCGGCCGGAGGTTGCCCCACGCCGGTGCGCGCGCATCAAGGCCGCATCTTCCGGCACGCGCTCTATCTCCCCCCGATCTAGCCCCCTGGGGAGAGAGACCCATTTCTCCCCAACCGCTGGGGGGTTGTGCGGCGCAGCAGGCCGGGGCCCTTCGTGCGGCGGGAAAATATAGAGCGCGACCCGGGGCTGGGGGGGGGGGGGGGCTCTGGCCTCACCAAATGAGGCCGCCTCCTGGCCAGGCACCGGGGACAGAGGGGCCGGGACCAGGCGACGGGAGAACCTTGTACAACCGCGGTGCACGGGCATCCACGATCATCCTCTCGGGATATAATCGCTGATTATTAAAAAAGCAGGGCTTTCGGTGTTTTCCGGCTGGTTTCGAACGTTTCCCCACGCAGCCACCCCCCCTGGCCCTCTTCCCGAGCTGCCCTGCAAAGGCGGAGTGGCGCCCGACTTCGGTGGGTTCCCCGGGGACAGCGGATCCATCGTCGCCGGGGGGGGGTGTTCAGACGTCTCCCCTGTCCCGGGAGGTGCGGCTGTCTCCGGGCAGGAATGAGCAAAGGGCGCGATCATTGATCCCATAGTGCACCCCCCCCCCCTGGCCTCCGGGTGTGTGTTCGGCTGCCGTCCAAGTCTCTCCTTCTCTCCTTCTCTTTTCCCGGCCGGCTTGCCCCGCCTCTCCCTGCTGCGGGGGGCGGGAGGAAGGGAGCTTTGAGGGTCAATTACCAGCACCGATGGTTGGAGGCAGCGCGGTCACCCAGGGGGTACTTAATTTCCCGCCTGCACTGGATCCTCATCTTTTCGGCGTGCTCCGCCCGAAGTTCGGGATCGATAGGGTTCGGGCCCAGGGTTGTCGCTCTTAACCGTGATATACGGTTACAATCCGTTGGGCATGTGTGCGCTCACATGTCCAACGGCGCTCTGGGCACGCGTCAGCGGCACTCTCTTGGAGCCTCGCCACCCTTGTTCCCTGCGGACGCCGTTCGCGCACCTCGACTGGAAAGCGAGAAGACAAGGGGCCAGAGGCAAGCCGAGTCGGTTGCCTCTCGGCGTGTGCCCCTCGGCCCGTGGCTTGTGCTCTCGGCCGCGTCTCACACTCCCGGACGTCTTTGCTTGTGCAAGGTCTCTCATGGTTTGGGAGCGCGGCAGGTTGACGGTACATCATTTTCGGCGTCTCAAGGGCCGGCGAATGGGGCGCTCCTTTTTTAGGGTCTACATGCGTCGGACCGCCCCTCCGCCGAGGGGGGGGGGGGGCGAGTCGCGCGCCCCACGGGAGGCGCCCTCTCTCTCTCTCTCTCTCTCTCTCTCTCCGTGCGTGCGCCGCGTCCGTGTTACCTCCGCGGTGCGGTGGACCAGGAGGGGGGGGGGGGGGGGGGGGGCGTCGACCCGCAGGGCGGTGTGTGCTGCGCCTCTGTTTCGGGTCTCTTAACGGCGCCGCGCATGCTGCACCTCCCGTCCGGGGAGGGGGAAACTTGGGGAGCTGGACGTGTGCTGCTCGTGGGGGCACGCAGTCCCCGGCCATTTGGCGTGGGCCGGGCCGGACGCGCGCGCACACCGATTTGGTGCGCTTCCCGGCGCCCGGCGGCGGGCGTGGCTTTGTTTCCGCCTCGGGCGTGGTTCCGGGAGAGGGGGGGGGGGCTGCGATCCAGCCGGATCGGTTTCGCCCCATGTTCCGGGCCTCTGTCCCCCCGGTGCAGGCTCTCCTCCGCTGGCAGGGAGAGGGCGGGGGGGAGCCGGCGCAGCCGGGAGGGAAGAAGGGCTGCCGTTGGTGGGGGCAATGTCCCTCGGCTGCCCGGACGCGGGCGTGTCTCGTGTGCCGCGGGGTGTCCCCGGAACGTGTCTTGTCCCGCCCTGCGGACCGGCCCCCTCCTCCCCCCCCCCCCCCCCGACCGCGCCCGGAGTCAGTCCGCCGTTGCTGGGCCTGCCCCGC